AGACCTGATAATTTACAAGTTAGGTAGTTCTTGTTGTGGAAAACTACTCTCTTTTTTTAAGAATAGAAACTAATCTTAATGGTTTCCTCTAACACTCTATTACTCTATTATGATTCAAAGTAAAATTACGAATTAAAATTTCGAATTTTATTTAAGGAATTTTAATAATAATAATAATAATTAAATTGAATTGTGAAGAAAATGTACAAGTTTCAAGATAGAGTTAGTTTCTATATATAGAATGGATTATTTTCTACACAAAATGGATTGGCTTAAGTACAGAGTGAAATTCAGACGAATTATTACTATTAATTATTTTTTTTTTCAAAAAATATAATTTTCATAATTTGTAATAATAAGGCAATGTGAGTTTGAACTTATCATACAGCCAATATTTATTTATATAAGTATGAGACAAATCCGATAATTTTTGGGAATTACACCCATTGCGTATGAGTAACATATTTTAGTAAAAAAATTTCCCAATGCATAGGACTACATAAATTGTATAATTAAATTTTCATCGTTAACTAACTTACTCAAGGTGTAGTACAAAGTAAAAATAATAATAAAATATTAAAATAATAATATAACAAAAATCCCCAATGCAGACCGTATGCAAGACAAATATCTGATGTCATTTTGTAAAAAGAAATGATTTCAACTATATTTAATAATACTTTTCTTAAAAGATTAATATAAAGACACAATATTTACTAAGAAAAATTGTTTTTCATTTTCTTTGATTGTAATTTTATTAGGTATATGTTATGCCAGAGATGACCTTTGTCTTTGTCACCAAAGTTTAATCCAAATTTGTCTCTTATTCTCATTTTAAAAATGTTTAATTTGTATAAAAAACAGCGATAGTCATTTGACAATGACTGTCTGCATAACACAACCCTTTGAAGTATATTTTTATTTAAAAAAAATTTGTAAAATACACTTAGTTGGAACTGAAATTCTATAAAATCTAAATTATATTAAATTAAAAAAAATGTAGATCACAAGTATGACTTATCTACACTAGGCGAGAACTCAACACAAATTATGAAGTCATAATATTCCATATACTACACTAAACTTAATTGATTTAAATTAATTTTAAACATTTTTTTTACATATGAAACATTATTTTTATAATGAAACATATCATTTATGTATATAAAATTCATAATAATAATAAAAAAAAATTAATAATTACATACGCCATTTAGGAATTTCAGGGCTAAGTTTATTGGGCGATTTGTTAGTTTAGAAGTATAAAATATAAAAAATATTGCTTTTAACTAAATAAGGCTTAAGTAAACAAAACATTTGAAAAATTAAGATAATCATATAATTGCTACATATTGTTTTTTATTATTTTATTTTGTCGACGTTTAATAAGATGTGTTAATATAACTCGCCCTGAGAATATAGTCATTAAAAATAAATTTAAAACGTTAGCAATAAAAAATAATAAAAAATTTCTAAGAATTACACGCATGTTTTGATTTTCCAGATATTTTGAAATATAACATATGAATAAAATATAATATTTTCAATTTAATTTTTTATTAATTATATATATATTTTTGAATTTATTTAAACTCTTTGTACAACCATAGTCCAGTCTCAAAACTCGTAGATAATTTTAATAGATCTCTTAAATCAATAAATTTAACATTCTAATTTAAATTAATTTCCCTCACAGTACATGTTTTTCTTAACTATAATTTTTTAAATCAGAAAATAAATAATTAAGTCATTTGAACATTTTTTGAAGGGCATTCGAAAACATAACCCATAGATTATAATTTTCAGGGCGAAGGACCTAGGAGTCCTGTTCCTTATTGTTAGATAACTTTAAAATTAATTTTAATGTTAAATCACAAATAAATGGAATTAATGAGTTACATCAATTATATTAAGCTGATATGATAGTTCTTCGTTTTAACCTGGAGTGGGAGTAATAAGCAGCTATTGCGTCAAAGGATATTATTTTCAGTTAATAAAATAATAATAATATATGGAGCTAATGCTCTATATATTATTTTCTGAATGTCGTTTCAGAAAATTTGTCCACTCAAGAGTAGTACCCGTGCAGTAGTGATGTCCATTAGAGGAGTTTTCATTGTAAAATCTATCTATAATAATAAATTTGACAAAATATCTATCAAGAAAGTTTTTACTGTATTCATATTGAAGTGTTGAAAAAAACTATCAAAATGTTCTATTAAAGTAAAAATGAGAATAGAATAAGAAGTTATCTTAAGTTTTATCGAATCTTCATATAGGCGGTGATTAATTATTAATTTACTTATTAGATACATATTAGTTATACGAGTATTCCGATATTATTTTTAATTAAAAAAGGTTCCCTAGAACTCACCCTACATAAGACTGTTTCAATTTCATTCAGTTGTTGACTCTGTTTGACTGTGTATATTTATAAAAAAATATAAATGCAAAATTTCGATCGATTTCATCCAAAACTACATAGGTAAATACATAGACTACATAGACAGACAGACGGATAATGCAAAATTTATTTATTTTATCGTGATGTTAAAAAAATATATGCAGTTTAAATGGCCACCGACGTCATATTTACTGACTGTAAATAGTGTATAGGAAAATTTGAATTAAATTATTTATATATAATACAAAAATTAGTGTTATTATATTCCATAACGATTTCTACAGCTTTGTTTTACTTTATGATAAGCATGTCTTTAAGTAGTTTTTAAAGATATGGAGAAATTGACTGTTAGTCTGATACTATGACTGAATTTGAAAGGCTATGAAACTCAATTTGTATAAAAATCAAGTCATCGTCTTTATGAAATATACCTAATTTCTATAAAAATCAGGTGATCTTACATATAAAATATGAAAATAATTCTGATATATACCTTAGATGAATTTCAGAGACTTAAAAAAATATCATTCGTATAAACATTAAATAATTATGTTTATGATATATATTTATTTTTATGTTTGTTTTAGAATCAAATTTTTGCAATGAATAAATAAAAAAATAAAATCTCCAAAAAAAAAACTACACTGACTATTATTACACTCATACATTAATATATTTATAATATAAATAGTATTTAAAATTATATTGCTTTTTTTTCATTACTTTCTATGCGGTGTTACTCCGACACAAAAACCTGTAAGATTGCGTTATTCATTATTTAACTTCTTTCCATAACTTCAATATTTTATAGCAAACCAATCTTATCTATGCTATGTTCAACTTAGTTTAGCTTAAGTTAATCAGACTGACCTATGGGTCCCTAGCGATAGTAATAAGAGTTATCCCTATATGTAGATTTTTGTCGTAGATTGAACCTTTATGTAAATTTTTGCATAGATATTTTTGCAAATTTTAGAAGTGCGTGAAGTTCTATTCCTAAGTCAGCGCTACCAAGAATGTTTGACTCTCTGAAGATATATTTTGTTTAATGTATTGTATATTTATAAAATGTAAGAGACGATAATAATACCAATATAAAAGTGATTTTATTTTTAATAAACAATAAGTAATGACAACCAATCCTTAAATAATTGTGTTACTCGTACTTTCCTAAAGCTTAAATCGTATATCATATTTTATCCAGTAAATTCTGCCTACGTTGACATATATATGGAATTTGTCTAGTACACATAGCAATAACGTACGAAATAGATGATGAGTGCCTATTGTAGCGTAATTGCATACTTTGGAATGTGTTGAGTTTTATTCGTACAAGAAATAAACCAATTTTTTACATTTATGGGATTTGAACATAGACCCTATTTTCCTTAGTTGTAGTAAGCTCACATCATGTATTTAACATACAAGGGGTAGTTAGAGAAATTAGGAGATTGGTTAATATTTACCCCCTATAGAACTCACTTTTTACTTGTATCTCTACATATAATTTAATAACAAATAATTCCTTATATTATCTGCTCTTACACTGTTTTTTGAAAATATATATATATATTGTTATTTATTAATATCAATTATAATATTTAATATTTATTTTTAATAAATTAATAAATATATGTTATTTATTAATTTATTAATATCATTCCTAAATGAAAGCACCGTTTGCTTACAATCGCTCAAAATGCAATAATATCAATTTACTAAACAAACTAAGTAATTATATTTACTTAATACGATATTAATTAACAACTGTTGGGTAATAAAGGATAATATTATTTAATTGTCTCATTTATAAATCGAATTGTCACCTAGTGGAATAATACGCTCCGTGTTGGGAATCGCCGTTCTATTTAGATTTCTATGCACTTTTAATTTATTATTATTATTATTATTATTATTATTATTATTATTATTATTATTATTATTATTATTTTTATTATTATTATTATTATTATTATTATTATTATTATTATTATTATTATTATTATTATTATTATTATTATTTATTATTATTATTATTATTATTATATATTATTATTATTATTATTATTATTATTATTATTATTATTATTATTATTATTATTATTATTATTATTATTATTATTATTATTATTATTATTATTATTATTATTCTATTATTATTTTTTTTATTTTGCAGAATTGAATTTATCTTGGATTCATATCGATTTGTACCTCAACTAAAAATTATTTCAGATTCTATGCTTACTCTTTTCTTGGTATGCAATATATATATATTAGAAAATTATAAAATATTCTCTAATAAAATTCTTTTATTTATTTCGCTTTATATCACTTTCCTTCTTTACTCTATATTTTTTTACAAAACTTTTTAAATATTTCTATTTTTTCTATACACTTTCACTTCTTCATTCTTTATTTTACTTTATATCACTTTCTTTCATTGCCCTGTAATTTGTATGTTTTATGTATTTTTATTCTATTCCATATATTTTCTATTCTCTTTCTTCATTTAAATTTTTTTCATTTCTCTATTATTACGATTTTTTAATTAAAATACGTTTTAAGATCCTTCATTATTATCTGTTCATTCACTCACCTTAGAATCGGGTGCATACTTGTAACGTGCACAACTGATGGCGTATCCATTTGATATTGAGCCACCAGGACAGAATATACCATCTCCATAGCCATTATTTGGGAAGCCAACAATGCGACGCATCTCACTTAATACTTCCTCTTCCATCAGAGTAAATATCGGTGCTACTTCATATGTATAAACACTTGGATTTAGAGCATCAGTTAACCATTGACCAATTAAGGCATATGGATCCACACCAGAATACAATTGATTTATAAAATATGGATGACCGGTTTTTACCGAAAATTGTATAGTTTGCTTCAGAAGATTTTGTAGTTCTTCATGAGATTCACCATCTTTGCGTAATTTAAAATCAAACAATTGTTGCAGTTCGTGTGGCGCATGCCACTCAACTACCTTATTGGCACGATTTGTACCATCAAAGACAGCCGATTTAATAATCTCATCCACGCATTCGCGAATAAAACTTTCAAAAAGCATTGGATCAGGGTGACTAGCCATTAATGCCACTTCCTCGGCATAGCCATTCTTTTTGATGTCAGTGCCATTGCCGTTCAATTTGTTGTCATTATTAAGCACTTTCGATTCCATTCCGTTCTCATTGCTCTTTTGTAGAAGATTCATTTTATTTGCTTGACCAAGTTGACTGGCTGTCGATGCGGTAATATTCTGTGCAGCTGCTGTCATTGTTAGACCAGCACCAACTCCACCCACAATGCTAGCAACATCAGCGCTGTTGTTTTGAATGTCATTGCCAATTGATGTTGCTACGGCTGTTGCCGACATTGTTGCATTCGTATCCGTCTTGGCTGCAACCATTGCCAAATCTTGCTCCACTGCCTTTAATTGTGTTTGCTTAAATATAGAATCATTGTAGTGGCTACGTATACTTTCGCTGGCGATCATTTTTATTTGTTTATTTTTTTATTAAGTTTCTGTTTCGTGATTTAATTAGTATAGTTTACTTTTAATTAATTTTATTTATATTGTTTTTATTTGAATATTTGAATTAAAATTTGTTTATAAATTTTATTATTCAAACGTACACACTTTTCAATATTTTTGATTTAATTTTTTTTTGACTATGATTTGAGTTGGAATTTGTTTGGTTGTTCTTTTAAACGGTCAAAAACAATTGCATAAAATATTTTAAATAATTTTTAATTTTCTCAATATTTTCTCAATATTAATTTTTTAAAATAATTAATTTCAATTTTTTATAAAAAATTGTATTAGGAAGAACACTTGCGTTTAACACTTCTTTATACTTTGGCTTTACACAAATGCACTTCGCAAAATTTTGTCAAAATTATTGTTTCTTTTCCGTTTCACGATCTTAACAAGCATTCGTCAAATCCCGCACTGGTTGCAGTGAGCTGACTGCTGCTGCTTTTATAAGAACTTTTTTTTGAGCGTCCAATGCCGTTTGTGGTGAGCTGGACGGACTAACCGTTGTTTGGGGTAGACAGTGTGGCAGGCATAAAGCAGCTTTCATCAGAACTCATACCGACGAACAGGCTTAATTCGGTTTTAAGTAACTGATCAATGGAACAGCCGATCGGAGGCGATCGTATACACGTTTTTTTTTTGTTTTGTTCTTACGGTTTTTCTTATTGTTTTTCTTTTTGTTTTTATTTGTGTAGTAACAGAACATCGTGTATATGCTCATTCATTATTGTTGTCGTTTCGGTAGTAATTGCATATGTGTAATTGTTGAGAAATACCCAATCGATCTCTTTAACGGCACTGTTCGGTTGTCGCTATAACAGCGAGAGCAGCATTTAAATTTGTGCATGAGCATCTCGGTTAAGCATAACGCTAATTCACACTTTCAGTCAATCAACTGGCATCAGTCATTATTTTATTTTAAATCGGGCACTTTAATTAATCATTTAACAAACTTTTTGTTGCTAAAATTAAACAATTAAATTATTTGAATTTTAACAAAATTAATGCAAAATTGTTATATTGTCAATTTTGACACACTTAAAGAGTGATTAATATAAATTGAATGTGGAAATTGTGATTTCAATAAAATTACAATATATCTGATATATATATATCTGATATACTAATAATTATATCAGACAAAGTATCGTAGATTTGGTACTATTTATAACGATATTGCTTATAATAGATATATATAGATATATATAGATTTTATATATAGATTATATAGATTGTATAGATTATATAGATTATATAGATATATAGATTATATAGATTTATTTTATAGATTCAAAGGTATTTGCACTCAGAAAAGTATACCCCAACTTCATATTAGTTAAATTGATCTGATCATTTTAATAAGATCACAACATATCTGATATATATATCTGATATACTAACAAATATGTCAGACAAAATATCGTCTGATAACGATTTTGCTTATAATACAATGGATTGGAAGGCATCTCTTTGGATTCAGAAAAATATACTGAAACCTCATACTAATTAAATTGATCTGATCACTTTGTTAGAGAAATTTGTTGTCATGTGGTAAAGAAGATTTGTAAACCAAAATGTGGTATGGTTCAACCAACATAATGCATCGAGTAAGAATATTTTGCCCTGAAATTTATCTAAAATCTGCCAAAATCAACAAAATTATTTTTCTGAATATGTGTGAAATGTTTCTTTTAATAATAAAAATATTTATTTTTTTTACCGGACTTTAGCTCGTTTTTTATTTTATATTACTTTATATAGCATAAATAAATATGATTATTTTATGACCAAATAAATTTTAAAATAATGTTCTCTCAGTCTAATTGGTTAATTTTTAATTATTGTTAAAAATAAAAATGAAGAAAAAATAACAAAATTTTTTATAGTAATTTTTTAGTAACGAAAAGATCTTTATTTAATCAATATTTCGACTAGTGTCTAAAGGTTTCCTGATGATGACTTTAGACTTATGTCGAATTATCGATTAAGTAAAAATTATTTTAAAAAATTTCATTGTTTTTTCTTAATTTTTATTTTTAACAATAATAAACAATTAACCAACACTTTTTTATAAATAAATATGTAAATATAAACATTGATTTTATTTGTTAATTTTAGACAAAACTTATACTTCATATATTTAAAGCAGGTACTTTGGTTCACCCTCAATGTTGGTGGTGTCTTTTTATTAATTTAACAAAACTTAAGAGATCAAAATACATATTTACAAAAATAAAAACTATATTAGATCAAACACAATACAAATATATTGTACCTTCTAGCAATTGACTGGATACCCTAACATAGTATGTTGACAATAAAAAGGACTCACAAATTCAAATAGGCAAGTCAGTTTATTGGGGCTAACGAAAATCTACTAAGCAATATCTAAACAATATAGATTTTATGACTCTTTCTCAACAAATGGATTAGTTGTTTCTTAAATTTGTGTTTAAAAAATAAGATTAATATTATTTATTTTTATAATTTATTTATTATTTAAATACTTTAATTATATATTTTTTTATGTGTTCACAATAATAGTTTTCAAAAAAAAATTAAATAGTAAAAAAAATTTGACTCTAAATAAATAAAACAAGATTTTCAATTTACATATCTTTGTTATTAGTAATATTCGAACAACAATATTCCTGATACTTGAAAATGGATCATTTTTTTTTGAACATTAAAGTTCAAAATTTAAAATTCAATTTCACTTCCGTAGCCAAAACGATTTTTAACCCATCTGATAGACTTTAAAATTAAATTCAACTACGAGAATCAATTCGACTGCACTTCATATTCATTAAAAGTGCAATATTATAGCACAAAAATGCTGTAAAAGTATATGTAATGTTAACACAGTATATATAAAGATTATTATGATTAATATATGTGTTGTAAGCATAATGTGTTAATATCAATTTTGATAGAATACAAGAATTCATATTGTTCCAATTTTTCATTGCAAAAATTTTTGAAATTTTTCTGAATTTTGATTTATATTTAATTTAATACATATATAAAGGAATTATATATTTTATGTGAAAAAATAAGTGTAACCATACGTGATATTTAATAATAATAATTGCAAATTAAAATAATTTGAAAATATTTAGTATTTTTTTTATAAATAATAATTTAAAAATGGAAAGTATTCACAATGCTTTATAATCAATAATAATTTACAATAGAATTTTAAGGAATTTATATATTTGGTGTTCTGTAAATTTCTGTCTAATAAATTAATTTTTTAATTTGCATGTTTTTGTTATTTCTAACGTTTTATAACTACATTTAATAATATTTTAAGTTTTTAAGAACTTCTAAAGTTATTAAAATAGTAGTATTTTTAAAAGTTGAGTTTATTGAAAAGAAATAATTTTCTTTAAATTTATGTAAAAAGATTTCGTTGTCCTTTTCTATGACATGATTCAATGACCCAAGAGATTAACTCAGATGATTTATGATAAAACTAACTAATAAATTAAGTTGTTTTTTGTCTTTGGTTTAAATTTATCATTCTCGTTGTAATTAATATTCTCATAAACTACACCAAGTTATGTGATATCGTCTAAAATATAAGTTTGAACGTGCTAAAAGGTTTATTAGTAATCTTAAGTTTTGTTAAAGTTACACAAAATGCATTACTCTATAGAACGTGTTAGTTCTCTTTTAAGTTTTGACTAATAGTTTTTGAATAATAATCCTTATCTCTGTTATTAACATTTAAATATACAATTTCTAGTGGTCAACTTTAGTCTATAAAATTATTTTGATTGAGCATTTCGGACAATGTACATATATCGAAATAATGACTTCAATATATTCGGATTGGGCTGTAGAAATCAGTTACAATATTTAATAAAATTCAACGCCATTCAGACATATTAACGCTTCTAAAAAACACTTCTACATAAAATAGAAGCATGGCTAAAAAACGATTCTGTACTATCTTCTAAAAAGAAATATATAGTAAACTATGTGAAGAACAATTAATGTAAGCCAGTTAAAATAATCGGCAGAGTAAGATTTTTGTGAAGGTTGGTTCAACATCTCATAATCACTTGTCAGGAATGATAGCCAAGTGACGTAAATGAGACTATCAACTTAATGAAAATCACAATGTGTGAACTTTTTGAAATATAGATGACTTATTTTGTGACAAACAACTTATGGGGTAATCATGTAAACTATGAGATCACTACAACTTTATAAGATTGGATAGGAAAAGGACGAGGTATCATTTATGTTTCAATAAACCTGGAGCTTATGTGATTATTGGAGTACTAATGGAGCATTGTGGTATTGCAACAATGCTGCAATATTGCCACAATCTGACTTGTGAACTTTTCAGGAATTGTTTTAATAAAAAATAATTGAAATCTATCTATCAATTTGTATGTCTCTGCCCGGGATCATAGACATAACAGTTCGAATGTTTACGAGAACATTTTTTTACTGATCTGATAAAGATAACGAAAGTAGACCTATCGAATTTTAACTTATTTTGGATCAATCAACATGATTTTTATTTAAATGTCGGTTTCATTTACGTCTATATTGGAACCTTTTCTAAGACAGCCTACTAGTTCAGAAAATTAATAAAGAAAGACTTTGTTATTGTCAATATTCATTATAATCCTTGATTTAACTTAGATGCTTTGACTCAATGTTAGAACTTAATTTCTTATTATTGTTATTATTGTTATTTTATACCTCATGTGATACTCAGGCTAACAAATTTCAGTAGTTTTCTTACCCTTCGGTGTCTCTTTAAAAATAGACCTGTTAATGTGCAATAATTATAAGAAAATTGCGGCATTTTCTTACAATCTCTGAACTTTTATATTCAATTGCTTTTATTATTGCTTTTATTATATTTCGTAAATTTTAATAGTTAAATAATTTAGCTTCCCTTAGACATCGTAGAAAGGAATAAGTTTGATGGGTTTAGAATTAAATTAGATTGCTACGTAAAAGTTAGTTTTCATGATTATTGTATATATACAATAATATAAAACTGTATA